CCACAAAGGTACTCAAATGCCATTGTATTACAGGAGAGACAAGGGTATGAAGAACACCACCCCACCAGTACACACCAGGTACCCACACAATCTTTCCCATCATTATCACAGGGAGGACACAGGCTGTTCTGATGTCAATACCACAAAAACAAACCCAGAATAACTCAAAAAATACTCTAAAACTGGAAGACAGTGGTATTTAAAAATGGGGTTTCGCATAAATTCCATTAGGCAGATATTTATGGAATAAAACATAATAAATACTCTGAAAAGGTCCTTCTCAAAGAGGAGACTGCTATAAAAGTAACGGTAACACAAGGATGACTAGGAACCACCACAACAGACTTCATCATGACAGAAGATTCAACAGAAAGTACATCCCATCATCTTTGGGGGTTGAGATGTGCCCGACGTTTATGAAGTCATTCTGTCGTTGTTGCTAGGTGCCAGGCAGTGGTTCCCACTCACGGTGACCCTACGGGCAGCACTGCCCCCACAGGGCTTTCTAGGATGAAATCTTCTAAGAAGGTTGCCAGGTCCTCCTCCCACAAAGCCATTGGGTGGGTCAAACCGCCAATCCCTCAGTTAACAGCCGCGTTCTTAACCACTGGGCCCCAGGGCTCCTTGTTCACAAAAGTAAAGTGATTAATAAGTCAGTGTCTTTTAGACCCTTTAAAAAAAAAAAAAACTGTGATTTGGGTGGAAGTTTACAGAGTAAATTGGTTTTCTATTGAGCAATTCATACACGTTTTGTTCCGTGCCATTGACTGTAATCCCCACACTGTAATGGCACTCTTCTCACTTCCTCCGTGTTTACCACTGTCATTAGACCTTCTTTCCTGTCCCCTTCCTGCCTTCTGAGCTTTATCCCTGGGCAAACGCTGCCCTTTTCATCTCCTACAGCTGACTGCTGTAAGCTGCATACCTCCTGGTGTTACTTGTTCACCTCCCTAACTGCTTGGCTGAACCTTAAGCCACAAGGGTGAGTTCCATTCTAGGCCTGAAGAATGACTAAGGGCCAAAGTCTTGTGGTCCCACCAGTCTGTATCAGACCAGTAAACCTGGTCTTTTTTACAATTTTGAATTTTGTTCCACTATTTTCCTCTCACTCTACCCAGGACCTTCTACTACTGTGATCCTGTCAGAGGAGTCGCAGCACTAGCTGGGCACCATCTAGTTCTTCTGGTCTCAGGGAGGTTGAAGCTAAGGGTTCGTGTAGTCCGTTAGTCCTCGGGACTAACTGCTCCAATCTGTCTTTGTTTGCTTCATTCTACTATGCTTCAGACAGGGAGAGACCAATACTTGCACCTTAAATGGCCATCTTTTAAGATCTCAGATGCTACTCACCAAAGTAGGATGCAGAACACTGTCTCTGTGAACTCTGTTATTTCAATGGACTTGATGTGCTCCCAGACTATGGGCCCAAGTCTGCAGGCCCAGCGACTCATTCCTTCAGGTGCCTGATTGTGGTTAAGAAGTTTTCATGACGTACCCCCGTATGCTCTACTGTATTCATGGATGTATTTGCAGTGCATACAATTACATGTGTAGAAATAGCCTCTATCAAACCTACCATTGTGTCTTTTGATTAAATGCTGGCTTCACTTCATATCAATACTAGAGATAATGAAAACCATAGAACAGGTTGAAATTTTAAGTTATAGTATTCTAAAGGAATGGAGCTCTTCAGGGTAATTTTTGTATCATGTGCTGCTGTATTCCAAGATTTCCTGATAGTGATAAAATCAACAATGCATAAGCTAATGCATCTCAACAGGGAGAAAGGAGTCTAAGAAAGAGGTAGAGAAATAGATGAATAGACCAAGGAAGGTTTGTTTAGTTCTTTCTCATCCAGCTTAGGTCTGATGTCCATTAAGCAAACAAGTAAATAGGACTAGTCATGGCCCCAAGACAATAGAGGACAAGTATTCAATGATCAGTCTCTGCTTTATGTGAAGCATTTGACCAGCCACCCCAGTCAGCTGCAAAGCTTGACTGCACTAGTGAGTGGAGATCACCAAGAATCTAATGATGCGCAAGTATGGACAAAACAGAAGTTCCAACAATGGTAAGAGGACAACTTCCTGAGTGACCAAATTCTAGATCCAGCACTGAGGATACTGGAAATGTCTTCTTTCTTATCATGGGAAGTTGTTAACTACTGAATAAACATATGCTTCTGAAAATATTTATGTCAATGTAAGTGAAAAGATGTAAGTTATAAAAATAATTTCTTAGAAGAAATAACTGCTGGAAAAGCATTTTTGCTACATTATGGACCAAGACCTAAAGATTATACATTAGGATCATGACATCACATTTTTTAAAGCTGCAAATCGTTAAGAGCCACAATTTAGTTAGTTCCAAAACTAGAAATTATCAGTTATGGTGGACTGTTTCTTATCTTAAATAAAAAGACAAAATTGGTGTCCCTGACACGCAAAAAGGAAGAGCACAGCCGGAGGGACTCTACCAAGATCAACACCAAATTCAGATGTGACGGCAAACATAGCTTCACAGACCTATGGCATCAACTGAGTCAAGTCAGGGGACTGAAATATTTAATAAAAGCCACGCTGTGAAAATACACGGTATCAGAGCAGTAACAGAATACCAACACATTCTGCCCCAAAATGATAATCACCTTAATTGTGTGTAACAACTTACCAACACAGCAGTCACATAATATAAACGTATCTGTAAGCCCCACACAGAAGTTTTTCACACATACCCTGGTGAAAAAAAGGAGCACACCAATTTTTATCCTAATAGACGGGATGGGTTTTAGGTTTACTGGCTGCTATCTGATTTGTCCTTTATCCAGTAACTGATACTCCATGGACTCACCATAAAACCTAGAAACTGCTCTGTGAAACAGACTACTGACATGTGCATAAAGTGCCACTTAGTTGTCACTCTCTTATTCATCTGTTACCAACCCAGAAAGAAGGCACCAATGAAGGTATTTCTTTTTTTAACAGTGATGCACAAAACCTTAAATACTCTTGGGAAGCAGGCAAGGTAAAGACTTGGAGAGACAGCAAGTTATTACACAGATACAAATTATTATATGTATACAAAGAGAACAATTCAGAAAAAAATGTCAACTACTGATGAATAGAATGGCTTAGGTCTCCAAATATTCCTACTCCTTTTTCCAGGAATCTACTTAGAAAGTCGCTCTTCTGGAGAACTCTTCAGACAGCTTTCTGGGTCTACAACGCTTCCTTCCACCACTGATTACGCTGTGGAGGTCAACCATCCATCCCAACATGCAAAAAGCATATATGCCAGGGAGTCGCCCCACAGGTCGCCAGTGGATGTAAAGAAACCAGTGTGCTAAGAGCCACTGGCCACACAGAAAATCTGCATCTACACAGACAGCTTCCGATCTGGATCACGGTACCAATCACCTGCCAGAAACAACCTACAAAGTTGCCTTCTCTACCAAAAACACCAAAATCACCGCCATCAAGTCGGACCCGACTCATAGCGACCCCTCCCTGGGTTTCCGAGGCAGTATCACTACAGAAGTAGATTGCTCAACTTTGCTTCCAAGGAGTGGCTGGTGGGTTTGAACCGCCAGCCTCCTGGTTAGCAGTCAAATGCCTTAGGCACTATGCCCAACAACACTACAAACCAGTATGGCCGTAGTACACATGATTAGTGGAAAAGTGAGATTCACTCTCCACTGGCTTTCCATGTGTCAATTTAAATTTCTTAACACCACAAGCCACTTTCCAAATACTCCACAAATGTACTGATCAACAGTGCGCACACACACACACATGCAAACACACACACTCTCTACACCCAGCTGTAAGTTATCTACTAAAGAAAAAAACTTGTAGCACAAAACAGAATCATCACCTTTTGCATTCCTTCAAATGAAACACCTAGATAATGAATACTCCAGTATGACTCCTGTAAGATTTCACCCTTTCCACCAAAAAATGCAAGCTGTAAAAATTAAAGTTTCCAAAAACTATACATCAGATTCCAAGATGGCATGCATCCTGAAGCCACCATGAACCTTCTCTCTAGGGCTACATGTTACTAACACAGGTATGCCAAATGCCAGGTAGAACATTCATTTCAAATGCCTGTTCTCCAAAGTGTACAACTAATATCATAACTCTAACTTAACTTAATGCAACCTTATTTTAAATAACAATGGAAATCTTGCCCAGCCAGAATCGCCATCTTAAATAAACCTCTGTAATAGAGATTAAATGATACTAATTCTTCAAGTCAGAATATGTCAACAAGAAAATAAATATAATAATATTTATTTGTATATTTTTAAGTTTATAAGGGAAATCTCATTTATGTTAAGTTCCCTATAAAAATGTGAAGTATGTACAGCTGTGATAGTTACGGGCAGCAAGCTGACGCACCACAATACAACAAGTACTTTTTATCAATAGGTACCCCAGACACCAAGACACTATTTGCTGGCGAAAATACTTTCCAAGTAGCCTTGTCAAATGTTCAATTCAAGTACTTTTCTTTTAGGTAAAAAAAAAAAAAAGACTGGGTAATTTCTCATTACTTAAACAGAACGTTCCCAAAGAAATTCAAGCTACCACCAGATGCTTAATATCATCATTTCCATCCTCTGCCAAGTGGGAATTTCTTTTTAAGTTTCCACCCTGACACAGACACCACTGATCTGTAGCATTACCAGAAAGCAACAGGCCAAAGAAAGCTCAACTGTATACGAGCAAGAACTCCTGCTCACAAAACCAAGCAGCCAAGTCGAAACTTCCAGTTGGCGTCTGGGCTCTGAAACAGACACTTAGTATGAAAGAGCCGGCTCTGCCAGAGCCACACTGCCTCCGAGAATGACGGTCCGAGCAATGGACACATCACAAAACAGATCTGGAATCTGACCTCTTTCCCAAGTCTTAACATGAAGTAGAAGATATAAAAACAACTCTTAAAAAAATGTATTTAACTCATTCTGTTTCCACTTCCAAATCAGCACATTAATGTCTTACTGGTAAGCTTGACGGTCTTTCTTGTTGTATTAGGTTCAAGTCTTCGTGGTTAGGTTTTCCGGGGGCCAGAGGAGGTTGAGACCTACTTCCGTAGCCTTCCTGAGACATGTCCTGAACAAACACAAACACAAAAGCACTTCATCAATATCTTGATGGGTTATAAGCTTCAGTAGCCAAAATGAAGCAAAGACTTACGACAAACTAACAACTAACGTCATATTTAAGCAGACATGTAAATGTTTTAGGCATCATTTCTTTAACATTTTATGGAAAACATAAACAAAAATCAAAACAGTGACTCATCAGTAGCAAAGAATATATAAAATTCACAATGAAACGTATTCTAAGACCATACCAGCCACGTTATCACATGTGAGTTTTGCAGGAAGATGGTAAGTCAGTAAAAGGTAAGGAGAGATTGACTGCAGCCAAACTCTCCTTTCAACCAGAATAAACCCAAAGCTCCTTTTACTGTTTAATTCTGATTATAGTTGAACGGCCTTTAATATTACCTCCAAAATGTTAAAATGATTAATGAAAAGTTTATTGTAACTGACTTTTAGCACACCCTGTGAATAACCCACAAAACACCATCAACCATCATGGAGCTCACAGTGTCCTGGGGTTTCTAGCAAATTGTAAAAACTCACGTCTAGGACCCCGTATGTCCACATGGCCCAGCTGTCAGAGAACCAGTGCAGAGACTAAAACAGTGGGGACCAAAAGAAAGCCAGAGAACCCGCTGAGGTGTGGTACGCTGACCCTGAACCTGGTCTTTCTGATACTTTCCTGAAGGTATTCTGTGTGGTTTCAGCGGTATGCTGAAATGATGTTACATAAGTCAATCGCCACACGGCACCACGCTCACCGTACACCAGCAAGTACCGGCCCGCTCCAGTCCCTAGCTGGTCCCAGCTCCCAACAATGCACCTCCATTCACAGCCTGAGTCAGGCAGCAGGACCTCTCCCAGCACTGAACTGGCACCGAAAGCGGAAGAACCAGTTCCTGACTGCAGGGGAAGATGAGAATGGAAAAACAGCACACTTGAAAGTAAAATTCTTTCCCTGTCACTTGTTCAAACGTGTGTTGGGGGTTAAAGAAACGTCCCATGGAAATTCTTCTTCTTATGTTAAATCCCTAAAACATTACTCTAAACACTAATGTTTTTCAGGTGAATCCCCATAAAAGGCTCCTGCGGCCCCACCCCCTCCTCACACAGTATACACTTAAAACCGCACTGCTCCTGACGCCAAGACTCTGTGGACCAGCTGGAGCTGCCGGCTGCGCGCCAGGGCGCCTGCCAGCCGGCTGGGACGAAAGGGCGGACAAGGGCCCAGCAGCCCCTCTTCCCTCACGCGGATCTCCAAAAGGTATGGACAGGAAACAAGTGGCCGGAACGGAATCCCCGTTGCCCAGGTTTCCATTCTGCAATAACAAGGTGAAGAAGGAAGGAGCGTGGAAGCACATGGAGTCAAGGCATCTGAAAGGGGAGCGCTTGGGTCTGGCTGCCAGCAGAGGGGCACAGGCAGGCTGGGGTGCCCCCAAAGCTGAGGCTGGAACATGCTGACACACCCCCTTCACCCTCAGGCTGTCCTCCAGACTTGTGGCAGGGCTACTGGGGTGGCCCTGCAGGTCCCTTCACATTTAACGCAAAGATTTCACATCAAGTGGGGCACAAGGCCTCCATTCAGAGGCCTTTACCCTGTGACAAGAACTCCACAAAGGTGCCGGACAGCTTCACAAAGGACGAACAAATGAGCAGGCCGCTCCCCGGCGCGTGTGGGCCCACAGATGGGGCGGAGGGGGATCGACACATTTTTTTTAGTAAACTTTACTGAAGAAAGCATGCCCTGTGCTGATTAGCCTTTTAAATTTCTTTGTCTCTTCCCTTTGTAGCCAAAGGAACTGCTTTTTTAAAGAGATGAAAAACACCATTACAGCCACAGTGGATGAATATACATTTCCATTTAGATCCATTCCCCTAAATAAGCAGCACTGAGCGGCAGTCCATGAAAGCCACCAGAAGAACTGCCAATGACTTCCCATTTCGCCTCCTGGGCCCTTCGTCACAAGTTCAAAACAATCAGGTTCCACCAGAATCCAAGTATGAGTCCGCACCTCAGAAGGCTAAAACAATCATCCAGACACTACTTGGAAGTAAAGCCAAAATAAAATTCAGTAAGATTCTCTGACAATGAACTTGTCCTGCTTCAATGTAAGAAAGTCAGAACTAAGGATGAAGGGAGCTGACAGAGCACATGGAAAAGGCACCAAACTTCAACCCACACCATCACCGGTGGATACGCAGCAGGACCGGAGAGCCTGTGGCAGCTACTACTTTAACAAACACAGGGCTACATCCCTAACCGGGAGCCTCCTTGCCTTCGGAGGGGCACATATTTTCTGGTATGCTTATTTCTGTCTCAAGAAAACCAAGCAGGAATAAGTAATTCAATAGCCAATACAAGGGCAATCAAGAATACACATTTTACAAGCAAACACCAACAAGTAAGCACAGTTCTGCATTTCACAACAGCACTGCCATCTCTGGTTACATCTAAAGTATAAACTAGCACCTTCCAGCCTATCAACCAGTACACACAAATCATTACTTCATTTTCCCCACACACATACAAAGTGGTGATTTTTAAAAGGCTACTTTTACTGCATTGGGATAACACCTCCACGCAGAAGAACCAAGCATGAGGGAATGTGATTTACCAGCAATATTTCTCCTCATCTCACCCACAAATGTTTGTACCTTAACCTGCTTCATGATATGAGTCAAAGGTGAGACGCACACAAAGTGCAAGTGCAAAGAGTGGGGCAGTGGCTGCACTGTTCAGCTCAGAAGTCTGCACTCAGCTGTTTCTTTTAACAATACAGCACATCCTCCCAGAATGCCTACTGAGCACGGTGCCCCGCACCGGGCACATCCACATACCCTGGTATAAAACGTGCGAGAGAGAAGACGCTAGATGCCCACGTGCACTTCCAGAGAGGACAAGATCGAAACTCCCACAAAGGTCTTAGTAAAAAAGACCAAGAGTATAATTGTTTGTTTTCTGTTATTACAAAATGAATTAAATAATCAGGCAGCATCAGACTTTAAGGGGAAGGGGAAACTAAAACATCAAGGACACTGTTTTGAAAATATTAAAAAGCAAAAACTTCCCCATGGTGTAAGTTAAAAAGATAAAAAGAGTTAAACAATGAAGAAGATAGTGACTGTCTCCCTCCCACGATCCCTTCCGCAAAAGTTAGTACCGTCAACAGTTTTTATTTATCTTTCCACAATTTTTAAACGTGTTACCAAGTATAAATAAATGTGAATTTAAACTCTATTTTTCAAACACATCTGGAGCATATTTTCTGTAAACTGTGGGTTGAGTTGAGTTTGGTTTGGTTGTTGATCTCATAACACCATACCGTAGAGCCCATTCTGTATCTACACTGAAGTATCTACTCTCTTCTTTTTTGATGGCTCCATAGTTCATTCTTTGCTGTGCTGTACTTACTTACACTGTCCTCTAATGATGGACATGGAGGTTGTTTTTAGACTCTTGCTCCTTCGTGTGCTGCGATGCTGGCTGGTGCCATCGAGTCAGCTCCAACTCACAGCGACCCTACGTTCATACATCAATCGGAAAAACATCCTTGACCACGGATCTTCACGCGACATATTTATAGCATAAAGCTCCACAGGTGGAATTCTTGTCTCACAAGGTAAGGACGTTTATAATTGTGAGAGCGTCTGGCAAACTGCTCTTAGGATGGAAGCATGGCCCACAAATGGGTCAGCCATTTGTGAAGAGAACAAACATGTTTCCTTTAGCACCACAGGACCGCTGACCCCACCACAAAGCAGAGAACCTACAGCAAGGAGG